ATCATCATTTCAAGATTGAAACTCAATTAAGTGGTTAAACAGATTATGAGCATATAATTGAGCAACACAAGATGGTAGCAATTCAAGGTTGTTAATGGTAGCAATTCAATTAACACCTTGAGTACATAGGGGTCAACAAGGTCCAATTACCCACTAGTAAGGTCTCTTTTTATCTTTGTAGCTATAGATGTTATGTGAGACCAATGGGATTAAAAGACCATTTCTAGCTAGTTTGGGGGAGAGTGACAGAAAATTGTGTGTGCGTGAGAGAGAGAGAGAGAAAGAGAGAGAGTGGGTAGGTTAATGTTTATTTCTTTCTGGGAAAATGACTTCCGAATTGTTGTTCAGATGGGTTTTGGGCATAACTAGAGCCAACCAGAGTCCAACAGTATTCTTAAGTATAGTGATGATTAGGATGTTTTGGCTATTTTATAAACTGGAGTCAACCATGAAATGAAGCACCACCAGGATCATCTTGGGCACCTATACTTTTCAAAGACCAACCAACATTAGAAACTCTTGCTCTGTTCTACTGTAAACAGAAATGAAGCATAGTATAAATTTTCCTTTCCATTTTTTTTTTAATGTAGAGGCAACATAGAAGCCCAGGTTGGCAATGGTGAGGTTTTGACTAGACCCATTGAATCTAGAAGCTTTTACTGTAGCATCTACTTTAAAATATTTGGAAAGAAAGCATTTATAAATAAAGAATGTTAATGTAGTGGTGTAACGGACTTAGAGGGATACTTTGCAGTATAACTTTGGATTGGTATGATCACCATTTTAGTTAGTTGTTTTTGGAGAGGATATGGTCACAGTTGCATCCATGACAAGAGAAGACAAGGCCACAAGCCTTTTGTTTTATGGTCCTATTGAAATGACAGATTTCTCCTATGTCCAGTTCTTTTTCTTGGAGAATGCCAAAGCCAGTGCTTGTGGACTGTTTGCTTTTGCCTCCCATGTACACTAGAGGCAAATGGACATACTTCTCTGACCCACTTGAAGATTCCCCCCCTCCCCCCATCTTCTTGACACCAAAAGCACACAAAGAAATGATTTAGGCTAGAAACCATCATTTTGAAATCTTTCTACAGGTCCAGTGGTTGCAAGTGGGCTGGGCCCATCCATTAAATCTAAATCCATGATGGTCCGGGAAATTGACTTCAAATTCCTTATTTTCCCAGTTATGCTGGATCAGAATCAGTCCTATTAGAATTTGAAATACCAAATACACAAAAATATGCGCATTCTATAAAGCTTATATTGTCCTGAATTTGATACTAGGAGTTATTGCTATAATTAATACGAGGAAGCAAGATTAGAAGCAACCGGGACAAGACTTGGGTAGACCAGTAAGCATGAGCCAACCTCGTCTTAGGCTGCCCGTATGAAACTAAACTAAGATTTATGTCTCCCCAAAACCAAAGGGGTTTCATCTTCTTATTGACTACCCATACCCAGTAACACACAATTAACCCACCCATGAAATCATGACAGGAGAGGAGGCCAATTTATTTACAATAAATTATTGATGGAGAGTTCAAAGTATAAAAGTTATTTGTTCTGTTCATGAATTTCAAGTTTAGGAAGTATAATTTCCAAGGAAGGGTGCTATGTCAAACCATTAACCATCTTTCTACTTTATTGACAACAAACTAATGCCTAATCTAACATCCAAACAACTACGATAGATGCTCATGAACTCATGAGTCATGACCAAGCTTGCAAGGGCCCCCTATAGTTCAACACTTCAACTACAACTTCAGCACACCTTGGTGATACAACAATTTGGTTTTTATTTTAGTTTTACAATTTTATGAGTACAAAATGGGCAAAAGTACAACTTTGTGTACATTCCAACTTCTGCTAAAACTGCTAATCAAGTCAGCTACCAGGTTATAAGGACACTTAGGGGCTTAATGGTGGAAGCTTTAAAGCCCTCTAAACTGAGAGACCATCAGTATTCCCAAATATTAACCTCCTCCCTTGTTCCAATTCTCAAAATACAGCCCTATTTGAGCAATTCTCTCCCCAAAATTAAGCTTTTCCAGAAAGTTTTTCTTATCATTAGAACTCCTTGTTTACACACTCATCCAATTTTTATTGAGGAATGAATGTATTTCGTGAATTTTAAAGGGGTGGACTAGCTAAATTGGGTCCGGATGTAATAGATACATTAGGTAAGCACAATGAGTGAGCACTTAATAGCTGTGTGACACGTCCTATTTAATGCGTCTTTCATCCAAACGTTTTTGCTCCGTTAGACAGACAGAAATTATTCATTATTTTATTATCTTTGTCAAAATAATTAAAAATAAGAAACAATGAAAAAGGAAAATGTAAATGAGTCCCAACTCTCAACGTATTTATATTTTCCTTTTTCATTATTTTTATTTTTAATTATTTTGACAAAGATAATAAAATAATGAAAAATTTATATCTAACGGAATAAAAATATTTGGATGAAAGGCACATTAACTAAGACATGTGTTACACAACTATTATATATTCACTCATTGTATTTACCTAACGTGCCTACTACACGGGACCCAGCCAATCTAAGGCTTGGAGCCTTTTTATACTTTGTGCATAGACAGTGCTGCACGTAAGTCATAAATAAACTACTTATTATTTACATCCACAAATAACAAATTAACCAACAACTCGTCTAGGCTTATTTGAAATTGTAAGGAAAAATAATTTGCTATGACCAAATCACGATATGTAAATATTCATTGTTTACCATAGTGGGACTTTTAATCACTCAATCACAATGGAACTTTTAATCAGTCAACCACCAAGACTTACCACAGTGGAACTTTTAATCAACAAGAAATAGGCAATACCAATAAATCCAAAAAAGAGTTGGCAAAGCCACTAAGATACATTGAAGAAATCTGCAGGTTCTTTAAGAAATCCAACTCTAATAGCTACTCTCTAGGAAATCCAAGTTCATTCAGAACAGAGCTCACATGTGAATGGGATTGGTGATTGCTACATGGTCTGACCTATTGAAGAAGCAACTACTGTAAGGGCAGAGATGTCATCTCTTTTACAAGAACAAGATTTGAATATTCCTTATAGAGGCAATATAAGTGGAGGTAACTCATCATTGCCTGATGGCCCTTGCATGGTCTGGGTTCCACTTGAAATAAAATGATCACAAAATGAAAGATGTTGATAATGAAGAGCGACAAACAGCTGAACATGGTGAAGAATGACAAACATTGATGAGAAATGAGAATGCGGTGAAGAAGAAGAAGAGGAGGAGGAGGAGGAGAACGTACCAGTCTCGATGCTTCTCACTTTGGTTGATGGGGACAGAGAGTTTTAACTTTGAATCAAATTTTTGTTAAAATGTTGGAAAGCTAAAAAGCCCGAATAGATTGTAAGCTTGGCTCGGAGCTTCTCAGATTCAGACCATTTTGGTCTTTTAAAGTCTTTTTTGGGATTTATTTTTTTTTGTCTATTAGTCTTTTAATAGTCAAACGAAAAAAAAAGACCATTTTTGATCTACCGAACTTCTAAAAGACCAAAAGATTTTTTGAAAAACTTGCCAAACAGGGCCGTTAGCGAAGGAGTTGTCAGATGAAGTGCTGCCCAAATTTGAGCCTGATCCCACACTACAAGATGAACCTGGAAGGTTGGGCCATGATGTTGGAAGCTTCCTGGGCTTTCAACCAATCACGAAATTGGACCTCTTGCTCTTGCTCCTCGCTAAAAGACATACCGAAATCAAAGGCCCAATCCATTTGTTGCTCCAAAAACAAGGTCAGATTAGAGGAGCTATCTTTGGAACCAGGGCCCACCTCATACTGTTTCAATGTTTTAGCCTTGAGGTTAGATTGAAGTGAAACTGCTTCACCAGCACACTCCCCAAAAGCCGAGATAGGGCCTCTGACTTTATCATTTCTTGGTAGCATGTCAAAATTCAGCCTTTCCCAAACCTTTTCTAAAGGGTCTAATGGTTGAGAAGAAAGCATAGGAGCTTTAAAGGGGGGGGGGGGGCACAGGATGTGCTTCTAAAGGAGGAATACCGTCCCTTGGCATTGTCACGTTTACTCGGGTTGAGACTTGATCCACTTGACAAAAACCAGGTACTCTTGTCTCCAAAACTTGCTCAAAGAGATCCAAAAGGCGCCTGTTCAAAATTTTATACGCGTGCCAAAACATCACGTAGGGAATTGGCGTTCATTGATTATCGAAAATATCTTGGAATTAAAATTAATCAGTTTTTTTTAGTCGTTGGGCATAATATTTTGGCCATTATAAAGTCAATTATCACTTTAGCCAAATACTCTTAAAACTAGTTATTAAATAGTTTTTTGGAAGCATTATTATCATTTTTTCTCATTTCTAAAGTTAAGAAAAATACATAAATACCCCCACTAAATAGTTGTTGAAGGGTATTTATGGTGCAACTCTTGCCGGTTGACCAAACAAAGTACAGAAAATGAATTGATAATTTTTGCTGCTTGTCAAGTCCTAGGATGTGCATATTAAATGTGGCTTCTTTATTAAGATCAAATTTTTTACGATAAGTTTTTCTTCATAGAAATCAATTTTCAACCTCAGCCCTTCGCTGACCTACGTTTTAGTGGAAATTAACCCCCAATCCTTTCTACCATATTTGACCACTCTAATTTTTCCAAAATTTTGAGAGAGATGAAGTTTGGCCAGTTTTACTCAGCAATTTTGAAGAAACCTCCAAAGGAAGCTTTAACAAAATACCCTTTTCTTGGTTGCAGTCTTGAAGGACAGCAAATTTGGACTTCTTAGGCCCTGTTTGAGAATATTTAGAAGTACTTGTTAACTTTTTTTAACAAGTATTTCTTTTAAGACATGAGATCATACATTAAGTGATTTGTAAGTATTTATGGGTGTTTGGTAAAAAGTGAAGTATTTTTTTTTAAAAAAAGTGATTTCAAGTTGACTTTTTTAAGTACTTCTTGAAAAAGTATTTTTTCAAAAAAAGGATGAAGCAGTCCTTGATAAATTTCTATAATACCTAAAGTACCCCCACGCCCAAAAAGCACTGCTTATTCCGCCCCTCCCTTCCTCTGTCTCTTCATCTACCTCACCTCCCTACCGACCAACTCTGCCATTGGAAACCTTTCTTCTTTCTTTTCTTCTAGTCATCAAATCTTGGCCCTTCATAAGTTCTTCTCCTGATCTCTCCCTTATTTCTCTCTCTCGCCAAATCAGGATTCTGGCAAACTGTAACTGTTCCCAGCGGCAGTTAATGGCGGAAATGTAGCGATGAAAGATGAAGCCGGAATCTTCGCCCTGGCCGAGTCGAAGGTGGGCTGGTACTGGAGAGGCTCGAAGGTGTAGAACAAGCCAGAACAGCCCTTCAAGGCATCCATGATGCTCTGGTAGTCAAACGGATCAGCGTGAAAGACTTTCAGATTCTTGCTATTGTCGGAAGAAATTCCCTTGAATGCAGAAACAAACAATCCACACAAAAGATGATCAGATTCTTGCTATTGTCGGAAGAAATTCCCTTTCTCATTGCGATGGTGCCTCATCTCCTTCAGATCGTCTCCCAAGCAGTACTCTAATGGAAATCGTTCAGGTATTCACCCACTCCTCTCTCTCTATTTTACTATTTAATCCCTACTTGAATTTATGAGCTTCATTCTCTGACTCCCCTTTATTCGCTTCATTCATCTTTAACAAAGAAAAGAATTAAAGAAATGCTCGCCCATTTATCGATGCCTCTTCCTTCCACTCGTTTCTCCTTTCCCACTGTGTTGCGGCCTATCTTGTTTTACTTCCCGAAATCGTCCTCCCGTCTTCTTCCTTCGACCACCTTTCGCCGGCATTTCACGATTTTTCTGGTCATCGGTCGGAACTCACTCTTCTCCTCGGTTGGCCACCTGAGATCCACCGTCGCGTGCGTGGTTGGAGGACGGCTTTTCTCGGGTGCTGCTTCAATGGATTCTTCTGCAAGAGAAGGGACTTTGTCTCTGGAGTCAATGACAGATGATCTTAAACCAAAGGTTAGGGAATGATGATAGGGTTGGTTTGAGGCTTGAAGACCTGAATTGGGACCATTCATTTGTACGAGAATTGCCTGGAGATCTGACGACTGATACAATTCCGCGAGAGGTGAAGTTTTCTCTTTAAATTTCATCTCGTTTTCTTTTTGGCTTTTGTTTGTGAAGAAAATGAGAGAGAGAGAGTGGAGGGTAAAATTATCTTTTGAATTAATATAAATTTATCAAACATCCCCACTTCAATAAGTACTTAAAAATATAGAAAGTGAATTTTCAAACAACCTTAAATAATTGATAAAATAAATATTTCTAAAAACAATAACAAGTAGTTAATCATCAAATAGGACCTTAGATTTTTTCACTAAATATTACTTATATGCGTGCTGTTCTGACTGACTACACCTCACACAAAGCCAAAAGCCATCACGGGAAAGCCCTGTCAGTACTGTGTTTTGGGGCCTAAAAGTGCCTTTGCTTTAAATTGTTATATTTGTAAAACAACTCTTATCAATCGCTAACTTAAAACTCTTAACCAAACGAAGCCTGGTTTACAATTTTAGGTCCTTCTCAGTTTGTGAAAAATTTTAAAAGTAAAGAGGCATTCAACGGAAGGAAATCTATATCAAGCAAACATATGTGGTAGGCCAAAAAGATCAGTATCCAAAATAAAATCAGATTTGCTTGCTTGCTCCGGAAATAGGCAAATAGGGTCACCTGTAGGGCTGTCAATTGGATTGGATTTGGTCCAGTCCAATTCAGTCCAACATTGGTCCATTTACAAATAGACTGGACCGATTCTGGTCCAAACCCCATACAAATTGGATCTAATATAGTCCAATTGAAATGCTAATGGACTGGATTGGACCCAATCCAATCCAAATTAAATGAAACTTTATAAATTAAATGAAACACGAATTTTCTTCTCCTGACATTACAACTTCACTCAAATGCCCTCATTTTCTTATTCTTTCCCAACATTTTGAGGTGGTCACTGGGCATCACTCCTCAAATGGAAGCATGGGATTGACCCTGCAGAATTGCAGGCTCTCCATGGTATGGCCAGTGGACCTGATGTATACCCTATAATATCCCCACTTGAGTTCCTGCTAACACTAACCTGCTGGTTACATGTCTAACAATATCCCCAATGGGGGCCAAAGCCACATTATAGATCCAAAAACAAGTAAAATGAAATTTGTTAATGAATGATATGATGAGGAGAACCCTTTAATGGAAAGCAAGCTTGTTATAGGAAGGAACAAAAAGATCCAAAATATTGTCAATGACAAGCATGAAGCAAGGGCCAATAATCTGCTCCAGAGAATGACTGATCAATTTATTGACTCCAGGTGTAGAATGGAATTTGAAAGCACTAAATGAAAAACTGTAAATCATAATATAATGAAAATGTTCAAACAATTAAAACTAAACATTATCCCAGATAAATGCTATCCACCACATGAATCCTATTTTGTTGTTCTACTTTATCAAGGGCCATACATTTGGTAAGTTTTGAATAATAAGAATGCATGATACATGCATATGAATAATTGATGTATGGTTAGAAATTCAAAATTCAAAATTCAAATCTCGGGTTGTAGCAAACAAATATTCAGACTGTAGCAAACTCTGTGCTAGGCTCTACCAAACTCTGTAGCAAATAAATATTCAAATAGAACCATTGGCATTCCAAGAAATATCCAAACAGAATCATTGAATATTCAAACATAAGTATTCAAGATATTCCAAGTAATATTCAGACTATAGTACAATTAAAATTAGGAGAGTATCTACCAAACTCTGTGCTACGTTCTAATGACAAAGGATACCTCAATGAACAAATCGTAGAGGTTAGAGGAGACTATCACTTGAGAGCAAGATGCAAGAGAAAAAAATCACCAAAATATGATTGCCTGAATGAAGAGGGAATGCTGTTGCCACCGGAGAAAGTGAGAGGGCATTGAGAGAAGAGAGAGTGTTGTACTGCTGTCACTAGAGAAGGTGAGGAGGTGCTTAGAGAAGAAGAAGCTCTGTTGTTGGAGAAAGTGAGAGGGAAAAAGGAAGATCGCCGGAGAAAGGGAAATACGGCCGGAGTTCGTCCAAAGCTTCAAACGAAATACCACCGTCCACCGGTGAGACTGAGGATGGAGCGATGGAGGCGCAGAGGTGCTGAACCCTAACCTTCAAACTTCGACTCTACGAAAGTTTCTATGCTTGACGCTTACGAAAATGAACGGACCATTCGAACTAGTGGCTTTGTCCACTTTCGGTCCATTCTATGAATGGACATTTATGTTCGGACCGGTCCGCGTCCATATCATTTTTTAGGACCGTCGGGTCCGTCCATATTACTTCCGATTCGGACGGTGTCCAACCCGAAACCGGTCCATTGACACCCGTAGTCACCTGATTTGCTTGCTTGCGCTCTACTTTCGACATTTCAAATGGCCAAAAGATATTGCCATGCCTTGAAACCTGCAACGAAATTCAATAGTCCGTCGTTATTTAGTCTCTTCATATTCCCTACGCCCTCAGAACTCAGAAGCAAAGCAGCAACTATTTAAATCTTGGAATTCGTTCGATTAGATCGCCCCTCTCCATGGCAGAAACGAAGCTGATGAGCTTGAAGCTACTTGACAAGAGTTCTAACAGAGTCCGGCCTGTTTGCTGAAGCAGGGAAGGACTTGGTAGATTTCTTCTTCAACCTCCTGGCGATGCCTCTCGGAACCATTGTAAAGCTTCTCACGAATCAGAACATGGTGGGTTCTGTGGGAAACTTGTATGAGAGTGTGAACCAACTTGACCGAAGCTACATTCAACCAAACCAGAAAAAGGAGTACCTCTTGAATCCCAAAGCAGCGACATGTGTGGCCCAACTTCCTCTTCTGTTGCCAAATGATGCTCCAACCCACCAAAACATGCTATACATGCAGCAGTGGTTTATATCTACGTACACTACCATGTAACAAACAAACCAGTCCGGATTTCTTACAAACTTTTTGTACTCCCCTCTCTACTAACCCAATAAAATGATTCCAGCTGTTTTTAATCATGTTAGTGGAGTCCGACTCCGTTAGATACTCTTTAATCATGTTAGTGGAAATCCGGACTGCTGTCGATGTTGTTTGGAATCCTTCCGATGATCAAATGGTTTTCTGATAAATTCAAACTCTGCAGTCCATGAATTTTTGTCAGTTCTGGTATCTCTCCACCCAAGTTATTGTTTGAGAGGTCCAAGCTAGTTAGAAGCGAAAGTGTCTTGGTATACTAAAGTTGTCTTCTTTCTGTAGAGACATCGATCTTCTCGTCGTAGCTGAATTTAAGTAGTCTATCATCCAGGTTTCTTTGATTCCAGTGAAAGCCTCCATCCATGACAACATGCAGCTTACCAATAGGGCTGTTCATAAGAAGGCCCAACCCGATCAAACCGACCAATTCGGACCGACCCAATCCAAGTCAGTCGGGTTTTCACCAGTACGGGTCAGTTTCAGGTTGTGCAAATTCCTAAACCGACGATTTGAGTCGGTTTCGGTTTTCACACAAGAAAATCGAAACTGACCTGAACTGAACCGACTTAGTTCCTACTTCAAACATGAAGTTCCAAAGCCCATTAGGCCACCTAGTTTTTGAATGGTTGCAAGAAACTTTGGATTAGTGAATAGTGATTAATGAACAACTTTTGTGATTAACTTTTCATTTAAATTTTATCACAGGAAATGGCTGAAACGATGTTCAATTTATGATTGTTTTTAAAATTAGCAAGATTTTATCATAGGATGAACTTAGAACCGAAACTGACCCAACCCGATTCAAACCGACCAGGTCGGTTTTGCTTAACACTGGGTCGGTTTCGGTTTCTATGTCAGGTAACCTGACCAGGTCGAGTCGGTTGGAAAAACCGCAGTAAACCGACCCAACCTGACCCGTGAACAACCCTACTTACGAAAATCGAGATTTAAAATATCTTTTGTGGTATTCGGATTCAAAACCATGGCATGCAGTAATAGTAAGGGTGTCAATGGACTGGTTTTGGATTGGACCCCGTTCAATCTAAAATCAATTTGAAAGGATTGGATGAACCGAGGACTAATCTGGTCCTAAAGATTATATTGGAAGTGTCTATAATAAATTTATATTGGATTAGCTTGGATTAAGCCCATATCTAATCCATTGATATAAGATAAAAATATAAGTATTAATGGACTAGATTTGGGTTGAAACCATTCTAGATCAAAATGAATTAGAGCAGATTGGACTGTCCAAACATTGAATTTGATCAGTCCAAAATGATCTAAAATATTTATTGGATTGGATTGACCTGGTCCATTTATAATGGATTCACATTAAACTGGATCCGATGGGACCAAATCCAGTCTAATTGACACCCGTAATTAATAGAAAGTACAATGATCCAGCTCATCTGATGGCCAATATGGCTAAAACTTTATACCAAGATTTTTGTTATTTCCCAAATTACCTCTGGGCATACCCGACTATGATATTACTTTTCCTTTTAAAAGAAAAATGGAAATCCATTGACTGTCCTAGTGTAATATAATTATTTGTCTTTGTCCTAAAATGCAGAATTTAATGGCTAAAAATTCGAATTATATAAAATACTAAAACATGTTCAACAAATGCCATTTTAAAGTGAAAGTGAAACTTAAATCTCTAATTAAGGCATTTGAAGCTTATCATAAGCTCCATTGGATGAATTTCACAAACAATAAGTCAATAACCATATGAATTACATATTATTTTCCGTTCATTTTGGCTACGGATTGGTAGCTTCTCAAGTGTTAAGAGATATTAAAACTTCACTTAACAAAGGTGTGGATAGTTTTGATTGGTCAAATGTACAGTGGGCTAACCTAAACTCCACTTGATCATTTAGAGGCTGTTGTCCAATGTGTATGATTCTGTCTTCGGGACAAAATAATAAAACATGTTCTTGTTTTGAAAAGCAAAAATTGAAAATTATGTTGGATCTGTTTCAAGAAGCAATACTTGTTTCTGAAAGCATCAAATTTATGGTTTTTAAAACAAAAAAGTTTTTTGGAAATTATGTAATTAATCAAATATGACACTAAATAACCAAATTCCAGTTTTGAAAACAAAAAACACATATATATATAATCAAAAACATGTTTTCTATGTTTTTGTTTTAGGAACCAATTTGATTTCAAACCAGCCAGTTTATGGAAAATACACCCCGTAAATCTGCTATGCTCTTTTGAAGTTTGAACCTACTACTACTACCCAGTCTCAGAGAATAGATTATAACCTTAGGCTACAATTTTTTTTTCTCTATAAATGTTATATAATATAAGATTAAAAAAAAACTCATTTCTATCAGAGCCATTAAGTGTGCTCTTTTTTGTTGTTTATTTAATTGTGAATATTAACAAAAAGAAAAGGAAAATTCCTAGTGGCCCATCACATTGCCCCATTAGATTCAAACCCTATATCTAGGGAGTGCAACTTGGGCAGGCCCAACCCGAGCCTGGACTGACTCAGCCCACAATTTTACATGAATTGGGCTTAAACTTTTGATCTTTGGGCAGGGCCTGGGCCCAAAAGTTTGGGCTGGGCTTGGGCCTATCTCTTAGGAGTCTGAATTTGGCCCGATTATGTACATGTATACATGCATATATACACACATGTATATCAATTTTTGGTGTGGACTAATTGACCAATCGGAATATGACCCAGGCCGGAGGCATCAAATTTTAGTGTGTGCTGGGCTCAGATTGGATAATCGAGCTTGACCTCAGGCTTGGATTGGACTCAAGCTTTAAGCCAAATTCTTAAGATTGGGCTTGGGTTGAGCTAAAACCCAGCCCAGCCTGCCCGACTTGCACCCTTGCCGATATCCAGCCTTGTTACCCTATTAATTAGATGTGAATGTAGCCGTTTGTCTTAATCACTCTAGATCTGCCCAATTGCTTGCGGCATGTGGATCCAGCCCATTTAGTGCTATGTGCTATGCCTGTTTGTATTTACAAACTCTCATTTCAAGGGAATCAACAAAACGCAAACTTCCCTCATGTTATTTTAATTTTTGAAAATTTGGCCATTTTAACTAACTGGGAATTGAATCCAATTCTAGGATCTGCATATTTAAATCTAATTCCTTTTTAAGATTTAAATTCTTTAGTTTTTCTTCATATAAATCAATCTTCAACACTAGATCTACGCTGACCTAAGTTTTTGCTAGAATTTAATGCCCAATCCTTTCCAGTTTGTTTGAACTCTCCATTCTCTAAATTTTGTCAAATATAGTCAACGATAGATTGGACACACTATTGTTGGAAGAACTGAACCTTTGATTGAGCCACTATTACAGAGCTATTTTTCACCAAACATATTGTTTATCTGCTGTCTGGGTGAAGCACACTTCACAAAGTCAAAAGCTAGCACGGGAAAGCCCATTGTGTTTTGGGGCTTAAGAGTTTAATTATTAGCTTTAAAAGCATGTCTTTCCGGCAGGATAAATGTTTCCTTAGCTTTAAATTACTGTATTTGTAGTAAAACAACTTTTGTTAATCGCCTAAACACTTTCTAGCTCTATTTTATTTCCCATGGCGATGGCGGGCCAAAGATAAAAAACAATAAGCTTATCCAAAGGAAGCCTAGTTTACATTTTACAATTGTAGGCTTAGCAAACAGCTTTTGAGTTTGTGAAATTTTTAAAGCGAAGGCTTTTTTTTTTTTATGTCGAAAAGTGAAGGCATTCAATGGAATGAAATCACTACCAAGCAAACATATTTTATAATTAAGCCAGAAAAAAAAACACAGCTCTTTATATCCAAAATAAAGACAGAAATGCATAACAGCATAAAACCATACATTTTGAAAGCCCCATTAAGATGCAAACACATACTACTAACTAATATTTCAAAACATCAAAACAAAAGGCGATCAACCGTTCAGGGGTCATGGGCCAAAAAGAAATCACCATTCAACAACTTCACAGCTGCATCTTTCCAAGAAAAATGTCAGTGAGAACAGTAGTTGACTGTAGGGAAGCTTTCACAAGTGCCACACCCTGTCAAACAAGAAATTGATAGCATGTTTCAAAGAAGATAAAAGAAAAGGGAATTATGTCATCTGCTCATCTAAAACTGTGGTCTTCTGGTATAAAAAATTCATGCTGATTGCTGAACATCCACCCCAAATCCTTCTTAAGTTTTAAACAACGTAATGTTTTCATTAATTGAATTGATCAGTATTGAATCTGTGCTAGACTACATGTCTTTCACCATTCATCAATTCAATCAGCAACACCAGCTGTGCTAGATAATGATGAAATCATGAAATGAAAGCATTAGTGAAAGCTTGGTGACAGAAAGAGAAACAAAGACGAGCTAAAATCTACTTTTCTTTACCTCATTGAAGCCCACATCAACAACTCGTTCCTCAAGGTTACCAACTTCCTTGACATTGAACTTGTTGAGAAGAGTAATAGTTGAGATGGTGGACATGGGCATGACTGCCAAATCGTCCATCACCATATAAGTCACCACTCCTTTCACATATCCTCCTTTCTCTCCAGTTGTGTTATCTTCGGTCATCCTTTGGGATTCAACGTACTGCATTTTTCTTGACATTTGGCACCCACAACTAGGACAAGAAACACCAGGAGTGTTCGTTACGTAATAATGCTGATAACTATTGCCGCACATATAGTAATCTTTGGTGTCGTCTGGGACATCGTTTGGCAACAGCAGAGGAACCTGGGCCACACATGTTAGTGCTCTGGGATTCAAGAGGTACTCCTTTTTCTGGTCCGGTTGAATGTAACTTTGGCTAAGGTTTTTTACGCTCTCATACAAGTTTCCCACAGAGCCCACCATGTTTTTCTTCGTGAGAAGCTTGACAATGGTTCCGAGGGGCGTGGCCAAGAGGTTGAAGAGGAAATCTACGAAGTCCTTCCCTACTTCAGCAAAGAGGACTTTGTTGGCACTCTTGTCTACAAGCAACTTAATGCTCAGCTTTGTTTCAGCCATGGCGCGCGGGGGGTGAGGGGCTACTGGGGCGATGTAACTGAACATATTCCATAAATTAAATGGTTGCTTAAAGAGTTTTGAAGGTGGGTAATTATTACGAACAGATGGTGTGGGAGGCGGGAGCAGCTTTCCCCAGGCCCAAATGTTTCCGTTTTAGTGAATCATCATTCATCAGCAGAAGAGGTGTAAAAAGCAACTCATAAACTTGCAGGATATGGAGATTGAAAGAAACAAGGAGGATAGAAAGGTACAAATAAATCTTGCATTTGGATCAGTGAAGAGGAGTTGGAACGGGTTATTCCTCAAATGGAAAGATCGAAAAGTGAAGTCCATCGGTCGCTGCGGATGGCTTGACGCCAAATAACATAGAAATGGAAGGAAGTAATATATCGAACATGAAAAGCAGATCTCTAGGAAAAAGAGTAAGACCAATGTTGGAGTGAGAAGCGCTCTCTTTGAAGCAAATCTGATTTCAAGAGTTATCACGTTCACGTCTAATCTAATGGCTGAGCGGGACCGGATAGGAGCCCAAGACCGGTCGTTTGAAATGAACGTGGAGGGAGGAACTAGTTTACAGGTGTAAATTGGGCCGTGCCGCCGCGGCCTGGCACGAACTTGGACCAGCCCGGCATGATGGCCGGCGGGCCATGCTGGGCCTGGGGTTTTAGGTCCATAGGCCGGCATGGCCTAGCTCGCAGCCCGTGGCACGGTCCGACAGGACCCATATATATTATTTATATATATTTTATACATATTTATATAATATTATATAAATTATAATTATATAATAATATATAGTATATAATATATTAATAAAATAAATATTTTTAATTTTATTACACTGATTTATTTAATTATTTGTATATATAAGTAATTGTATATACAAAATTCATATGAAATTAATATTTTAAGTTTTTTGTCATTTTTTTTTTTAAATAAATAGCTTTGGCCCGATGCACGGCCCGACTTGGCACAAGGCTCGGCTCACAGCATGATCTCGCATGGGTCTGGGTCGTGCTGGGCCAACCCCCAAATTTTTCACCGGGGAGGGCGACACGGCCCGTAACGGCCCGCGGGCCAACACGGCATGGCCCGCACTTTGTGTGGGCCGCCTGTGGGCTGTGCCATGCTGGCCCGACATGGCCCACTTTACACCTCTAAACTAGTTCAGGGTAACTCGGTTTAGCCAAAAACAATGATGACCCAAGGGATGAAGGTAATAAGTGAACAGGAAAAAGCTCGGCCAATTCATATATCATTTTTATGGTTGAACCATCCATTTTACGTCTGTTTGGCATCGTTGTCATTGTTCCAGAAAATGGTGCTCCAGGAAAGGGGCATTTGTTTGGAATCATTTTTTCATTAAAAATGGTGCTCCAAGCCACACCTTGGAAATTGAGAAGGCATGGCTTGGAGCAATGCCGAACTTGGTGTTTCCTAGAGCAGCTACTCGTTGCTGCCAATAAGGATGTGAGGTGGCAGTTATGTGGCACTGGATAATGGGTACTAGTGTTGACAACGTTTCCTAGAGCATTGGTACCAAACAAAAAAAGTTGATGTTGCTCCAGGAAATGTCCTACTTGGCAGCAAAGATTCCAAACAAAAAAAAAAGACATCGTTTTCTCAGAAAAACAGTGCTTCCAACCTACACATCAACATCACTTTTTCTGATGATGATGAAGCATCATCGGGAGATGTTCTCAATACAAGGTTGGGATGTGTTGTGGGGCATTGTGGGGCGCAGATGTTATTATTTATATAAATGAAAATTATATAAAAACTGAATGTTTTATTTTACAAATAAATCATATGTTAAAAATGAAAATATATTTATTATTTAAAAAATAGTTATTATTTATATAAAAATGCTAAATAAATAAAATTTCCCAAAAAATTAATACAAATTAAAAATTATAAAAATAATTTACAATTATATATAAATTGTAGAATAAAACAATTATATGTTAAAAATGAAAACACATTTATTATTTGAAAAAATAGTTATTATTTATATAAAAATAATAAATAAATAAATTTCCCAAAATTTTAATAAAAATTGAAATAGAGTGATAATTATTGTATGATGTATACATGTTCTAGAGTCCTAGTAGTGTTGATTATAATGTTTCTCTTCAAGTGGGTCCAACCCAACCCAAAACAGAATTTTGCATAGGTTGAGCTTATACTTTCAAGCACTGAGTGAGGCCAGGGCTTGAAAACTTAGAGTAGACCTAAACTTGGGTTAAGCATTGGTTGAAACCTCAGGTAATCTAGGCCTGAACCAACCTAACTTCAGCTTGCTCAACTTTCCATAATTTATTTATCCCATGTATGTGTGTCCCATAATTACACTATGATGTGCACCTTTAATTTTGTTATAGAAAGTTAAGAGGGATTTAGAGAGAGTTAAGAAGAGACAAGGATAAAGATATAAGGAAGGGGACATTTCTAACCATAAATTATTGGATTGGAGAGAGAGAGAGAGGACCCATTGCTTCCCATGTCTCCTTTCTATTATAATATAGATAGAAATGGTAAAACCACTTTTGTTTTAGTACTAGTGAATGACCCCGTACTAAGTATGAGGAAGTTAATGTAATACATACATACATATGTGCATATATATATATATATACATACATACATATATATATATATATATATATTAAATAATATTAAATTATATGAATACCATAATAAATAATGTTAATTAATATAATTTGATACATTTTGTCAATAAATATTACTATTAATTATTGTTATTGGTAATTATTAGAACATTTTTGAAACATTGGAAATAAAAACTACAAACACATGTCCTTATATACTGTTAATAGATACCAATAATAAAACTATTTATAAGGTAAAGTTTTAAAATATAAACTGCTATATTAAATACTGTTAATTAATATTGCTAACATTTAAAGAATGTATTACACATGGGATGCATGGAGTGTTGGATTTGATTTTTGATATTTAATCATATTTAATTATGTAACCATTTTCCTTTTATCAATTTTTTAATTTTTAAACATTTTATTAATTGCTCAATTATTTTCTTATTGAATTAGTCAATATTAATTGCTTGATCAATTTTTTATTTGAATAAATTAAATTATTCAATATTTTTCATGTTAATTTTATTCTTAATTAGTAAATTGCATAATCATTTTATTATTTAACTATCCATTCTATAGTGAATAATCAATTATGTTTGTTTAATCATATTATAGTACTTTTCTCAATTTATTGATTATTTAATAATGTTTTGTTTAAGTAAATGTTTTGAATTGTTTAATCATTTTATTCATAATTGAATAATTTTTTTATTTCTCTTATCAATTTGTTACTTATGTAAATGAATTAATTAATTTAGTTAAATTAATTGGATTAAGGTAATTATTGATTTGCAGAGAAAGAAACATGTGCTTACTTTTTTGTTTTCCTAAAACGTGTGCTTACCCATGAATGAATTGAATTACTATTTCCGGAAAATGTGGGTAGTTGAATTTGAATTCTATTTTCTATAAAAATGGGAAAGCGGGTAGTTTAATTGAAATTCTATTTCCTATAAAAATGGGAAAGCGGGTGGTTTAATTGAAATTCTATTTCCTATAAAAATGGGAAAGCGGGTAGTTTAATTGAAATTCTATTTCCTATTAAAATGGGATGACACTAGGGGTGATCATGGGCCAGTCCCGGGCCAGGCTTTGCACTTATGATAAGGGATATAGCTTAGGCCTGGCCCCGGCCCGATCAGGGGTTTCGGGCCTGAAACATAAGCCCTAGCCTAGGTCTACATGGGGCCGGGCTGGGCCAGGCTTGAAAAAAATTACGTAAGACCAAAAGAGAAAAAAAGCTAGCTAATCTACATCATAATATAGGTATAATTAGTACTTTTTTTCTTTGTTTTCTTGCACACCAGTATTGCACAATTTGATTTTAGTTAATTAGAAGCATGTTTAATGCATACAAGGTACCCTAGTCAAATCGGAACCATACCAAGTAGGTTGATTTGTTAGACCGATGTCTGTGAGAGTTGAAACAAATTGAGATTTGAGCTCCACATCTATTCAAGTCTCCTCAATTATCACAAGTTAGGGTGTCAATGGACCGGTCCAAAATTAATTTGGACGGATTTGACAGACCAAAAAGACATAGTTAGATTGGACCTGTTCGTTCTAAAATATTTCTTAGATTGGACTGGACCTGGTATGTTTTTAATAAATTTATATTGGATTTGATTGGATTAAGCCAATATTAAATCATTGATATAAGATAAGAATATAAATGTCAATGGATCAGGTTTGGGTTGAAACCAGTTTAAATTAAAACAAATTTAAACAAATTAGACAGTCCAAACATTAAATTGGGCCAATCCAAAATGATCCAAATTATTTATTGGATTGAATTAGACCTGATCCATTTGTAATGAATTCACACTAGACTGGATCGGGTTAGACCAAATCATCCAATCGAAACCCCTGGCTACGAACACCTCTACCTCTACTTCCTGCCTACCCTTGAAAGCTCTACTATCAATCCTATATAGTGGATGAAATAAACCTAACATCCCCCTAAACAATTCTAGCTTACAGCAATGTTTAAGGGTTGAAATATACGAATCACCCAAAATAGGGCCTGATGCAGTGCGCTTCGGACACTCCTACCTGGCGGAAACCTGGCTCCTAATTGGCGACGGACGGTACCTGAGAAGAAGAGGGAGGTGAAGAATTCCCGAGGAGCTTGCCCGACGGGAACACTCCGATGCTTAAGTTAGAACTCTAAGAGAACTGTAGAGAATGCAAAGAGAGAGCTAAGAGTGCAGATGGCGCAAGTTCAGTACCTTTGTTCCTTGGGGATCGGGGTCCTTTTATATTAGAGTTCTGTCAAATCAGGCGTAACCACCTCTGCCGCAGTCGTTACTGCCAGAGCTGAGGTGGTAGGTGCAGGTAGCCGTTGCAGGGTACGGACTTGTCAGGTGTGCCACATCTTTCACAAATGGCAGGCACGACGCCGTCTAACGAGGGACGTGGGCACAACCTCCAGATTCGGCAGGTACTGTTGTCAAGCAGATCTTTCCTGCAGGTTGCCGAGCTACTTTGCACCGAACTACCCTGGGCCGAGCTACCTTACACCGAGGTGCTGGGGGTGTGCTGAGGTGCTTATGCTTGAGGCGAGCCTTAGGCGAGTATGGACAGAAGTGTTAATGGTGCTGACCCGAAGTGTTTCCACTTCAGGATACTTAGCCGTAGGTCGGGGTGTTCCCTTCTCAGGAAGGAAGAGCTCGAGGCTCATTGGGAGGAGCTCGGGTCTTAAGAGGGGCTCGGGACTCCTTGCTTGGAGGGAGCTCGGGGCGTTCCACCCTCGGAGAGAATTCGGGGTAAGCTGGGTGTTACTTCCTGGCGAGTTGCCACATCCACCGAGTTGTCTGGCCGGGCTCCGACGAGTTCGTTATGCCAAGTCATGGCCAGGCTGTCATGCTGAGTTGTCACTTATGCCAGGTCATGTCCACGTGTCCCCAGGCTACTT